AGGAGGAGGAGGAGGAGGAGGAGGAGGAGGAGGAGGAGGAGGAGATTGGATTTGTACCCCGCCCTTCACTTGGAGTCTCAGAGCGGCTTACAAACTCCTTTCCCTTCCCCTCCCCACAACAGGCACCCTGTGAGGTGGGTGGGGCTGAGAGAACTCTGACACAAACTGCTCTTTTTCAAGGACAGCTGTGCCAGAGCTTGTGACTGACCCAAGGTCACATCAGCAGGTGCAAGTGGAGGAGTGGGGAATCAAACCCGGTTCTCCCAGATTAGAGTCCACACACTTAACCACTACACCAAACTGTTTCACATAGAATGTCAAATGGCATGATCATGCCTGTTCCAAACACTGGCCATCCTCATGTGACGGGATTGTCATGTTCACTTCATGTTGCCAGCTCAGCATTTATTTTGTTTTTAATTATAATAATTATGAAAATGGACTGTTTCATACTTATTGTAATTAATATGAAAACAAATTCCCCAACTAAACAGCACCCGGTTGCCACCCCAAAAAATCTGGCCATGGGTTTGGAGGCCGTTGGTGGGATGGTTAATAAAGAGCAGGTTGAAACTGAATCCGACAAAGAGGGAGGTTCTGTGGCTAGGGGGAGGGGCTTCAGGACTTGGGTTCAGTTTACTGGCCCTTGATGGGGTGCCACTGACACCAGTGCAGTCTGTCAAGAGCCTGGGTGTGATCTTGGACACCTCCCTTAACATGGAGGCCCAGGTCACACATACAGCCAGGCTGGCATTTTTCCATCTACACCGAGCCCGGCAGCTGGCCCCTTTCCAGTTGTGCTGTGACCTGGCCATAGCAATCCATGTGATGGTCACCTCCAGGCTAGACTACTGTAGCCTGCCCTTGAGACTGACCCAGAAGCTCCAACTGATCCAAAATGTGGCAGTGCACATCCTAACAGGAACATCCTGGGCTGCACATATTCGACTTGTGCTGCGCCAGCTGTACTGGCTTCCGGTGGAGCACCAAATCAAGTTCAAGGTTTTGGTTCTGACCTTTAAGGCCTTGAGCGGTCTGAGACTGACGTATCTGCAGGACCGCCTCTTCCATTACCCCCCGGGGAGAGCATTACGCTCTTCACAGAACAACTTGCTGGTGATCCCCAGCCCTAGGTATATCCAGCTGTCCCCAAACAGGGCCAAGGCCTTTTCAGTCCCGGCTCTGACCAAGTGGACCTCTGTGCCAGATAACATCAGGGCCCTGCAGGATCTTATGCAATTCTGCAGGGCCTGCAAGGCAGAGATGCTCCGCCAGGCAATCGGTTGAGGCAGAGGTCATTTCGGGGGGGATCACAGGGGATCGCAGTTCCCCCGGGTGAGGTACGGGGGCGGGGCACATGATGAAGCCCCGCCCCCTGCTTCCGCCCGCCCCGCTTCCAGCCCTCATTCAGCCAGGAGGAGGAAGGAGAAGAGGGAGGGTAAGTTGCTTCCTCCCTGCCTCTCCCCACCCCTGCCTGCCTGGGGCCAGGGAGGGCCTTCGCGGGGCTTCCTTGCACTCCCGCTGGCCTTGCAGGTCTACCACTGGGCCCCTGATGGGGCTCGGCAGTGGAGCTGCAAGGCCAGCGGTGGCGGCCGGGACCGTTGGGGGAGGGGTGTGTGGCCTTATGACACACTTCCGGTGATGTCAGGGGGTGTGGCATATGCTAATGAGTTATGCTAATGAGTTCCCCTAGCTCTTTTTCTATGAAACGACCCCTGGGTTGAGGACAAAGATGGTTGACATCATGGCTGGCACCCTACCTGGACCCTTTTTCCTTGTGGAGCCTACCCCACCCCCCAAGTACGTGCAAAGCACTAACAAACCAGATGGGAGGAACTGTAAAAAAAATTCACCACTTGCTTTTAATTATTGTATAATTCTGGATAAAGCTTTTATATGTTTTAATGGTTTTTTAATGTTCTACATCGCCTAGAGCCCCATGGTCGTGGGGATTAGGCAATAAATAAATAAATGAAGGAGCTGCGGTGGCTCAAGTGGTTAAGACGCTGAACTGCAGGCTGTGGGAGGTCGGTAGTTCAGCAGTTCGAGACCTAGGTGCCGCATGATGGAGTGAGCGCCCGTCTCTAGTTCCAGCTCCTGCCAACCTAGCAGTTCGAAAGCAAGAAATTGCAAGTAGATAAATAGGTACCACTTTGGTGGGAAGGTAACACCGTTCCGTGTGCCTTGGTGTTTAGTCATGTCGGCCACATGACCACGGAAACGTCTTCGGACAACGCTGGCTCTTCGGCTTTGAAACGGAGATGAGCACCGCAACCCTAGAGTCGGACTCGACTGGCTTTCGAGCAAGGGAACCTTTACCTTTACCTTTTTTAAATGTAAAGTGATAAATAATAAATAAATAATATAATGAAAGACCACAATTTTCTTTTATTTTGTTGTTGGTCTCTTTTGTTATTGCAGTCTCCGCTTCTATTCACTTTTGCAAGTCTGGCAGGATTTTGCTAATAAGGGCATCGAGAGAACACAGTGTTCCGAAGGGGGAGGGGGGAGAGAGACAGAGAGGCTCTGAGCTCTTTTGGTTGACTGCGAGCTGTAACCACTAGGATTACATACATGTGAATGGTATTCCAGTCCTGAAGGATAGGGGGTGGTATCTTGCCTTCCTGTCTCCTCCCAATGTCTGCCCTGCTGTGCCAAATTGTCCCTCGCACTCTGCACTTCCCCTGCTTGCCTGCTGTTTTCCAAACCTTATCGCCTGTCCAAGCATATCTACCTCAAGGTCCCCTTTCTTGTGTCACTGAATGCCCTTGCCTTCTCAGTCTGCCCTTCTCCTGCTGCTTTTTTTCAAGCTCATTAGCTGTAGCACTATCTGTGTTATTGTTTGGAATCTTTCCTACCAATTATCCCACGTAGACTTTAATGTTTAATATTAGGGCCTTTCATTGCCTCAAAAGTGGGGGGGGGGCAGTATTCTATCTGCCTGAAATTTGTCATGGGGGGGGGTCCCTCACAGAATACTACAGTTCTGCTGAGCGATGTCCAGTTAAGATTTTTTTAAAAAAATTACAGAAGTGGGAAGTGTCAATTGAAACCAATGGGAAATAATAATGAAATAGAGTTATGAAAACAAAACAGTGAAAGAAACAATAATGACAAAAAGCCATACAAAACAACCAATAGCAAAAGATTCCCTTTTTTTGGAATTAATAACAATAATGAAAGAAACAAACTCCCACAAATATGTATATGAATGCCTGTTTCACTTATATTCCAGAAAAATGTTGTCGTGTAATACGAAAGAAAGAAAGCTGATACCCCTAGAGGAATTCCTTTATGGAAAAATCTGTGGTGCTGAGAATGGTAAGCCCTAGAATGGAGAAAAAAACTAGCTCATACATAGTCCACTCACTTCTCTGTCAAGTGTAGTATTGTCTTCTCCTATGCACACTTACCTGGGGATAAGCATAACTGAACATAGTTGAATTTATTTTTGAGTAAACATGCAAAGACCTGTGGATGAAACATGGGGGGATTTGTGAATGGATCTCATCAATGGTTATTACTGGTCAAGAGCAGCTGCTGGGAGGCCCAGGGTGGATCTGGGCACAGCATGGGCGGGAATACAGGTTAGTCCTTTCTGCCCTGCTGTGTCCCTGTCCTCACATGAAGAAGAGGAAGAAGAAGAAGAAGAGATTGGATTTATACCCCACCCTTCACTTGAAGTCTCAGAGCGGCTTACAAACTCCTTCCCCTTCCCCTCCCCACAACAGACACCCTGTGAGGTGGGTGGGGCTGAGAGAACTCTGACACAAACTGCTCTTTTTCAAGGACAGCTGTGCCAGAGCTTGTGACTGACCCAAGGTCACACCAGCAGCTGCAAGTGGAGGAGTGGGGAATCAAACCCGGTTCTCCCAGATTAGAGTCCGCGCACTTAACCACTACACCAAACATGGAAAGCCAGGGAGCCATGATGGTTTGATTGGTGGATTATAACTGGAGAAATCCCTGTTGCCATTAAAATCATTGGGTGACCTTGAGATCGTCACCTTCTTTCAGCCTTAACTACCTCACCGGCTTCTCATGAGGCTACAGTGAGGGGAGAGGACCAGGTACTTTCTTGGGATAGAATAATGTTCTAATTAATAAATGCCCCCATGGTATTTACCAATAAAAATTGCATATGAGAACCATCCATGAAACCTCCAGCATCTTGTCAACATTGGCCATAATTTGCCAAGGTTTAAGACACAGAGCAGTCTTCCTGACTCCTGCCACCTGAGATCCTGGGGATCCCAGAAGCTGAAGCTGTGGAGTTGTGCATGCTAAGTATGCTCTCTGCCCTTCAACCAGGCCCATTTCTGCTAAGGAGGTAGAGACATGAAGCATACAGTAAGTATGTGTACAGATATGTATACAGATCGTATATCTATATATGCAAGAAATATAGTTGGTGCTTTATGGGAAACAGTCCCTACCTGCTTCTTCACACTTTCGATTTCTGCCTTCAGCCTGTGGATGATCCGGTTCAGCTCAGCAATCTCATTCTTGGTGTTCTTCAGGTCGTCACCATGAGAACTGGCTGTGGTCTGAAGTTCCTGGAACTGTAATGAAGACACTTATTAGGAATGGAGTTACTCCAAAGATTTTGGACATGCAAGAAGGGAATGCTTTCACATTGTCTCCTATCTATGGGGGAGCTCCAGGGAACACGCTTGAGGTGACTGTGACTTGCCCTACCCTTGATTTCACCTCCGTTCAGGCTATGGTAACATCCAGGTTGGGAAATCAGCTGTCTATCAAGACCATTTGGAAAACATCAGCTGGCCTATGACAGAGCTGTAATGCTGAACCAGAACGATCAAACATGAATGCATTCTGCCCATGCTTCAAGAATGTTATTTCAGAATGTGATCCTGGGCACAACCGAGTGCAGGACTTGATGTGTACAGCCATAAACACTTTGAGAGCAGTGGATCTGAAGGATTGCCTACTCCCATGTGAACCTTTCCCACTGCTAAGACCTCTGTCAGTGATTTCATAAGTAATGTGAATGGCTGTGGCTACCAGGAACAGAGCCAGCTTTGTGGTGGCACCTCACTTATGGAATTCCTTCCCAGGTAGGGTTGCCAACCTCCAGGTGGGGCCTGGTGATCTCCTGGAATTACAACTTATTTCCAGAGGACAGAGATCCGTTTCCCTGGAGAAAATGGCAGCTTTGGAGAGTGGACTCTGTGCCATCACACACCACTGAGGTTCCTTCTCTCCCTAAATCCTGCCTTCCCCAGACTCCAACCTCAAATCTCCAGAAACTTCCCCAACCAGAGTTGGCAACCCTGCTTCCCAGTGTCTATTGGACTGATGCTTTTGCTGCTAGATGCCAGCAAGGAAAATGTTTTTCAGGCTTTGAACAGCTTTCAATGCATTTCTTGTTAAGCTGACTTAATTGAATGGTTTGTTTTTCTACTTTTTACTTCCATATTGTTTTACATTTGTGATTGTTGCTAAGGCGTGCCATGAGCTGCCTTGAAAGCCAAGGACCAAAGGAAGAAATATAAAAATGCAGTAAGTAAATAAAAGAAACAACATGTCTGGGCCCGCTGGAGAGATAGTTCCCAGAAACCTCCATACTGCAGTGTAGTGTCATGGTTCGGATGTTGGACTAGGGCCTAAACGACACAGGTTGGATTGCCTGTTCTGTCATGGAAGCTTGAGGCTGTGGTTCAGTGGTAGAGCCTCTGCTCGGTATGCAGAGGGTCCCAGGTTCAATCCATGATATTTCCAGTTAAAAGGATAAGGTTGTAGGTGATGAGAAAGACCTCTGTCTGAGACCCTGAAGAGCTGCTCCCAGTCTGAGCAGCCAATACTGACCTTGATGGACCAAAGGTCTGATTCAGAACATTTTGGTACGTTGGCTCTGATTTGATTGTATCTTATGGACCAAAATAGGAAGGCTTACAATAGTAATATTATTCAGGACATATATACCTGACCATGACACAAGACAATACTCTATGAGGCCTCACCAATATTCTTAGGCCTTGCGTCAACTGAGTATAACTATAAAACTCCTCCTTTGGTCCTACATTGCTTTATTTATTGTCTCAATATTGTATCATAGAGCCTATATGTACAAATATTGCTTGACCACTGAAGAAGGCCACTTTGGTCCGGTCGCAATAGGTCCCACTTGTGTATATTGTACACTTTCATTCTGTACTGAGGCTACAATCGGGCCCATAATTGTTTTTTAACTAATTGATAATAAATACATGTATTTTTTATAATAATTAAGTTACAATTATAGTTTTTAGTCATTGGTCCTCTACTTTGTATATAACTGAGCTTTCAGGTACCTGACTGATTCTGTTGAAGGCAGATGCCTATGTGCATGAGACCTGGGGCCAGTCACTTTCTTGCAACCTAACCTAACTCACATGGTTGTTATGGAGGAGAGGAAACAGATGGCCCTGTGTCCCTTGGAGATAGCGTGGAATAAAAATACAGTAAATAAAGAGATAGATGACTAACAGTGCAAAACTCCTAGAGTCTAAAGCCCTGAGACAGCCTGAGCTATTTTGTAGAATTCAGTGTAGAACAAGAAGATCAGCATTGATCTTTTAAGTTATTACATCGTATATATTTTAAGCCACATTCTTACACCATTATGCCATATATATTGTGTTATATATTTGCTAAGCTATTATGTCATGTACTATTTTATATACACATGTATTCTGACCAAGGAATGTCCTCAATATCTGTACATCTGCCCTTACATTATGTTTTTGGTAATTATATATCCTGTGAGTTTTTCCCTATTCCCTTTTTTCTTTCTGTATTCCCTGAAAATTTAAAATAATTAAAAGAGAGAGAGAGAGACAAGATCAGCATCACTTGCGCAAGTCTCAGTTGCCTCGTGCTTCCTGATCAGCTGAAAAGAAAACAGCGCTCCAGGTATAGACCATCCTCCCACTTCACGCGGCAACAGGAACCGGTGCCTTACCTTGTCTTGGTACCACGCTTCGGCCTCGGCCCGACTCCGGTTTGCAATGTCTTCATACTGAGCTTTCACTTCAGCAATGATGCTGTTGAGGTCCAGGTCTCTGTTGTTGTCCATTTGGAGGATGATGTTGGTGTCACTGACCTGCCCTTGGATCTGAGCCAGTTCCTGCCAGGGGAAAAAAATAGATTGATTTGAGAGGTGATCGTTTGATCATTGTGACTGGCCAAATGACAGGTTCTGGTCTGGGTCTGTGTAAAGTGCCATCAAGTCTCAGCTGACTTCCAGCAACCCCAGCAAGGGGCTCTCAAGGCAAGTGAGAAGCAGAGGTGGTTTGTCATTTCCTTCCTCCGCAGGGTCTTCCTTGGCGGTCTCCCTTCCAAGTACTGACCCTGATTAGCTTCTGAGATCTGACAAGATCGGGTTATACCCTGCTGCCTTCCCTCCCAGGTTCTGGTTTGAAGGTCCCTATTTATTGTCTCAATATTGTATCATTGAGCCTATATGTACAAATATTGCTTGACCACTGAAGAAGGCCACTTTGGCCAAAATGTGACCGGTCGCAATAGGTCCCACTTGTGTATATTATCTACTGAGTGGTCCGTGCTCAGATGATCACAATAACCACAACTTAATTCAACCAGAGTTTTGCCTGATATTGGAACTGAGCCATACAGTGCTTCACCCATCACTGAAACAAACATGCAGACTCCTCATGTGTGCACTTGCTAGACTTGTAAAGGGCTGCTTGGTTAGAGTAGCCGGGGTCTGCTGCCCTCCTGCCTCCCACGCCATTGAAAAATATCCACTTTCTGACTCCCAAATATAATCAGAAGCAGTATAATACTAACTCTAGATACTCCTATAGAAAAAAAATCTCTAATCATCTTGATAAATGGGGGCAGCACAATCATAACTCACATGATTCATTCCCAGTTCTGCATAGAGAGAGAGAGAGAGATATGGAAGAACAGTGTTGAGATTTAGCTCCCTGACAGGTGCCTGGAATATCACATTTGAGAATCTGAATAGCAGTTCACAAGTCTGCCGAGGCACCAGTCACACTCGCTCTTTATCCATAAAAGTGATGTTCTCAGTGATCCCATCTCTGCAAACTGTGACTGTGAGATGCAGTGCAAGAACTAGGCACTCTCTCTCTCTCTCTCTCTCTCAGCTTAACTGACCTCACAAGGTTGTTTTGAGGATAAGATGGAGGAGGGGAGAATGATGTTGTATGCCACTTTGGGTCCTCCTTGGGAGAGAAAAGCGTGGTATAAATCACTAAATATCTAACTAACATCAGTCAAATTCCAGTCTGTACCCTGGACATGATTCTTCATTACGCTGATTGCTGTGGATCAAGATTCCTTTCTAGAATGCTACAAGGACAATCAGAGTGGTGAGACTTAGAAATAATTTGATTGAGAGTTTTTGCAAAATGACATTTTAAAAAAAACGAGAATGTTGAAGTTAAGCTCTTACCGCCTCATAGAGGGCTCTCAGGAAGTTTAATTCATCTGTCAAGCTATCTGACTTTGCTTGAAGCTCTACTTTGTTCATGAAGGAGCCATCAACATCCTGAAATAACATAATGTATTTGTGTTCTGTTAAAACATTGCTGCAGCAGCAGCGGAGAACATAAGAAGAATCCTGACGGAATCCGACCAAGGGTCCATCTGATCCAGTATCCTGTTTTCAATGGGGAGCAGCCAGATGCTTCTTGGCATTCACAAGCAAAATCAAAAGAGGACTGGCCATCCTCTAATGTTTGTCCCCAGGATTTTATATCCAGAGTATACTTCCTCCATACATGGATGTTCTTATTAGCTCTCACAGAGCTACTGGGTGCTTCATCATTTATTACTTCAATAATCTTTACAACAACCCTGTAAGGTAGAATGATATTATTGTACTCATATTGCAGATGGGGAGGAAGGGCTGAAAGATAGCCCCCTTCAAAGCCAAGTTACTGGAGGATACCAATGAACTCTTGACAAAGGTTTTGAACAAAGGCTCCACAGCTCACTCTCTTAGCCAATATCCTAAAGACCCTGGATAATCTCTTTCTTTAAACTGAAGTAAAATATGGAAGCATCTTCTCCAGTTGGTATTAGTTGGCCACTACCAGTGGAGACAAGTAACCATTAAAAGCAGAGTGCAGCTTTGGCCATAGCAGAGGGCTGATAATTCAGTCATCTGGAGAATGGCCGGATGACCTCCAATTTGAATCTCATTTTCTGTTCAAACACAATCCCTAAGAGCTCAATCAAAAAGTTATTTCTTCCTGCAAATAGAGCTGTGAGAATAAATATCTGTTCTTTTGTACTTAAGAATCTTTCTATAAAACAGGAGTCCATTGTTGCTAATCTAGAAATTACTCCCCTACAAAAGAACTTCAAAGGGAAAATCCAGTGGGAAATTGCTGAAGTAGCATTCAACAAAAAGTTCAATGCTATCTTCTCACCATGCCTCAGCAATCACCTGTCATTTCTCACTTAAGTGCTAATATCTTAGCACATACAGATGTTAATTTGTACAGCTACCCGGTGCTAGACCTATTTTGTGTTGATTCTACTTTGCCTGTCAACAGTTGGGAGTGATCCTCATCTACTTTAAATGGATTGATTATCCTTTTGTTCGATATTGTCTGGAACCAGCCTCCCTTTGTAATATCTCCCCCTTCCTACACACACCTTTTTGTTGTCTGCAGCTTTGAGTATAAACACATTTGCCTAATGTTTGAACACTGCGTGCATTTGATGAAGCAATCCCTGATTCATGAAAGCTTAGGCTAGAATAAATGTTGTTAGTATTTATGGTACTGCTTGGCTGTTATTTAATCTTTCTACAACAGAGTAACACAGCTACCCACCAGGAATCAAGCGTCTTTTTAGTTAGCCATATGTGGTAAGAAATTTTAGAAATATAGAAGGTTTGGGTTTAAAAATGAACCAAATAGTTTATAAAATCCATATATCTGTCCCTGTCTTTGCTAGCAAAACAGCAAACAGGCTTGGCCTGCTTCAATGAACCAAACCATGATTCTTGGCCAGCCCTTTGTTCCAGGCAAATCTCTTTCTCGGTCACGCATGCAAAAAGTCACACATTCCATTCCCAGGATCTGAATCAATGTAAATATCCACAGGTGTGAGACCCACAATTTCCTAAGCAATAAAATGTATATAACAGGAAAGGCCATTTGGGCAGTGACAGACTTCAATCTAACTCCTGAGATACATAAATTCACATACCCCACTTCCATCTCAGAGATAAAATCAAAGAACAGTTTTGGGAACACCAGGAAAAAACAATTAGACTGTGCTAATCCTGTACACAAAATGTAGCTTTTGGAGTGTGAGACGCAAGGAAGCAATCTCCTGTAAAACTTCAAAATGTTAATTTATAACTGTAATTTAATTATTGGGGGACCTCTTTGATCATTTGGTATAAATGCTGGTCAGCCTCAACAGACCTTCGCTGACTCTTGAAGGAATCTGGAGAGGCATTTGCTCTCCAGAGACTTTTGGGAGTTCAGCCCGGAAGGCCTTTCGTTTTTCTGCATGCTTTGGGGGGGACTTTGCTTGCATGTTTATTTTTCTGTGTATTTACTATCAATATTTAGGAAATAGGATTCTACTGTGTTGGCAGATGGCAGAGCGTCTTGCTAGCCACCTTGCCAGGTAAACCTTTGAATGTTTTTTTTTCTTTTAATAAGGTAAGTTTTGTTTTAAGAAGAGACCTTTGAGTGTCTCTGCCAGTGCTTAGCGGTTTCCAAGCTTACACCTCTGCCTTTGGTAAGGAGGCAACACTCAGGGGGCACACGAACCAAGGAAAGTGTGGGTGGCACGGGTAAAAACGCATTCACAGACACGTGCAGCCACACTTTTCTCACGACACCATGAAACAATTTTGAAGAACAGACTGTTACCTTCTTGATGCCAACAAAATCATTTTCAGCTGTCGTGCGCCTGTTGATTTCATCTTCATATCTGTTAGAGGTAGAAATGCAAGCGGATTGTAAAAGGATGGCAAGAAATGGCATTACGACATTTCCACCTCTGATGTTATAATCTAACCTATACTGTGTTTTCTGGTATACAAATCTCTTTATGGTCAGCCTTTGCCCAGCCACTGCCATCCAGGACAAACCGTTACCAGTTTCAGAAAGACATCATAAAACTCACAAGGGACAGGAATATATTCAGGGGGCAATGTCATTTGTACAGAAACCCTCATTTCTGCAATGATATTTCACTCCGGTCTTCCAGCCATCCAACCGAGGCACATCAAGGGTCTGTCCCCTTCCTAAATTGATTTGAAACCATTTCCAAAATGAAATCCTCAACCCAAAGAGACAAAATGAAAAGAAAGGCCTAGATCCTGCAGTGTTCAAGCAAAAAACATAAATGGTCTTAGCATAGTTCCAATTGCATGTAATCTTCTGCAAGACCTAATGTTTTCCTTCCTATATCTTACAGTGCCCAGAAATTGCTTAAACAAGTGGGGGGAAAGATAGCTATGTCTAACTTTGTGCAAAGGGGCCAGGTCAAGGTTTCTCCTGCTTGTGCAAAGATCTAGCCCGTATGGAAGTCTTCTGATGAATCTGAGTCAAACAGGGGAGAAGCTGGGTAAAGTAGACCTCATGTCATGGCAATAGGAACTGTGCACATGGGTATACCCTGCTGCGGAAATTGAGTCCATCATTTATGGGAATCATATAACATCTGTATGAAGTCTTGTAGAAGCCCAATTCAAGTGCCTAAGGATGCAATCCAGAGTAGTTGGGAGACAGTCCCCTTGCTCATTCTGAACAGGACTGCCTTCATTGAGAAGAATATTGCAGGAAAGTTTTTCTGGCACATCTTAAACATTTTTTTTAAAAAATGGGATGAACAGTCATGTTATATACGATGTTAATTACGATGCCCAGATTTTATTGCTCTGTTTCACAATTTTTACAATCCTTTAAATACTTGCTCTAAATGCCCTCACTTTTTAATGTGCAATAAAAGTGCCTCCAGTCTCCGCCACAGGCTGGAGTCTGTGCCAGAACAATCAAGATATCATTGCCTGATACAAAGTCCCTAAGGCTTCAGCTCTACCTCCGTCTCATTGCTGGATCGACCTGTACAGTGATGATGAGGTGGACTGCTCCATTTCAAGTGGGGGGGGGGTTGTGCCCAACATGTTGAAGACAAGCACAGCAGGAAAATAGATGGGCTACATCTTTTCCCCAAGAAATGCTTATTTTCTACTTGTGAGGAGCATTTCTCCCCCCTCAAGGGAGCCTAAAAAATGGGATTCCTTCTGCCAACTGTCTGAGGTGGTATAATCCAGGCTACCATCCCAGGATTCCATCACCTTGTTCCGTTACATGTCTTGATCAGCTTTCTGCATCTTCCCCAGTCTCACTTACTTCTTTCTATAATCTTCCACAAGATCCTGCACATTTCTCAGTTCTCCATCCAGTCTGGACCGGTCGTTCATCAGGGCATCCAGCTGCCTCCTGAGGTTGTTGATGTAAGCCTCAAACATGGGGTCGGTGTTGATTTTGGTGGTCATGCTGCCATGCTGCTGCAGGAGATTCCATTTGGTCTCGAGAACCTTGTTCTGCTGCTCCAGGAACCGCACCTGAAATCCATCAAGAGACCCTTAAGTTGCCTCAAAAGCACACTTGGAGCCAAAGCACACGATGGTCAATGCAGACAACCTCAAACTAATGCATCTATGATGGGTTCACACAGGAGCACTGTGGCCCCCGAGGCAAGCAGGCACACTGTCTGCCATCTAAATCCTCCATACATCAACAGTAGCCAAGGTTGATACAGATTAGAATGAGCCAGGAATGACACAATGGCTCAGGAACCATGGCTCAGACTTCAGTACAGCTACTGCAAACATCACAGAAACTTACCTTAACCACAGTAACCACCTCATGGTATGGTATTGTGGCTAGAGCAGTGGTAGTCACTCCGCAACTCACAGAGAGCTGCATTTGTAATTACCATCAGCCAGATGTGCCACATTTACTTCCATCTTTGGCTGAGGCCTGTACTCAGGGAAGCTCACATCTTACCCATTCCTCTGCTGGCAGCTTTTTCAAGGTGGGAACCACTTGCCAGCTGCAAGCCCCACCAAAGAAAAGCTTTGCCCACTTTCCTGAAACACAGTAAATGCCACACTGGGGAGCCACAAGTGGCATGTCAAGGAACCACATGTGGCTCCTGGGCCACTGAATGAATATCCCTGGGTTGGAGTATCAAACTAAGAGTGGAGAAAAGTAAAGGTAAAAGTTCCCTTGCTTGAAAGCCAGTCGAATCCGACTCTAGGGTTGCGGTACTCATCTCCGTTTCAAAGCCGAAGAGCCAGCGCTGTCCGAAGACATTTCCATGGTCATGTGGCCGGCATGACTAAACACCAAGGCGCACGGAACACTGTTAACTTCCCACCGAAGTGGTACCTAATTATCTACTTGCAATTTCTTGCATTCGAACTGCTAGGTTGGCAGGAGCTGGAACTAGAGATGGTAGCTCACTCCATCATGTGGCGCCCGGGTCTCGAACTGCTGAACTACTGACCTTCCACAGCCTGCAGTTCAGCATCTTAACCACTTGAGCCACTCAAGGTCAAATTCCTGCTCAGCAGTGAAGCTGACTGGGCCAGTCACTCCCTTTCAGCAGAACCTACCTTACACAGTAGAAAAGAACAAGATTCCAGCAGCACCTTAAAGACTAACAAAATTTGTGGTAGGGTATGAGCTTTTCTGAGTCACTGGTATCTGAAGAAGTGAGCAGTGACTCAGGAAAGCTCATACCCATTCAAAGATACCCGAAGAAGTGAGCAGTGACTCAGGAAAGCTCATCCCCTGCCATAAACTTTGTTAGTCTTTAAGGTGCTTCTGGACTCTTGCTCTTTTCTACTGCTACAGACAGAGCAACTTGGCTGCCCATCTTGATCTACCTCACACAATTATTGTGAGGATAAACTGGAAGAGGGAACAACCATGAACCTCCAGTGCAAGATTTTTTAAAAAGTGATAAGTAGATATATTGCATTAGTGAAATAAGCCCCGGGGTGGTTGAAATTGCCTGAATGTTTCAGGTTTTCCCAAAAGCCATGGGCATTGTCTTTGCAATCTCGACCACAGTCCCACAAGGTAGTGCAGTACTATTATCCACACATTGTAGTGGCAGCAGAAACTGAAAGTATAGTAGCTTGCCTAAGTCTGCTGAATGAGTTCCAAGATGTAATTTGAAACAGGGACTCGCTGGCGTGCAGCTCTCCCAGCTAATGCTCCCTCTAAGCTGTGGAGTCTTGTGAGCAAAGATTCTACTTTGTGAGAGAGCGACTTGGCTCCTGCATAACTTAGTTTGCTCTGGAGCCAGCCCTCCCGAGCTAAGACAAAAATGTGTGAGCTGGAGGCTGAAAAACTGTGAGCTAGCTCACACTAACTCAGCTTAGAGGGAACATTGGTTCCAGCATGTTGCATTTTAAACTATAAAAGAAAATAAGGAGGGAGGGGCAGCTCTATCCTCAAAAAAGAGGAAAGAGTGAAGGAGAACTTTAAGGACATACTGTAAGATCTGATGAATGGTGGAGTACTCTCCAAATGCAGTCAGACCAGTGTAAGTAAATCTGCATAGGATTACACTGCACTTTGCCTGGTGGACTGCTGTCAGTGCCTTTATCAAGGTGAGGAATGCCTGTGCTTTTCTATTGGAGGAGATGCATCCAAAGTTGCCATACTTTGTGCTTCTCATGCTATCACCTAAAACTCTTTGGAAGCACCTTTGTGATGCAGAAGAACTTGCAATCCTTGGTCCCGATCATGGCACTCACTGAAACTCACTGAGCATCTTGACTGTGTGAATCCATGCACACTTCAGGGTGCATGCTGACAAACTCTCATATCAAGAATTAAACTTTGCTGGTCTTAAAGGTGCCACTGGACTCAAACTTTGTTCTATTGCTCCAGACCAACATGGCTGCCCACTTGAATCAGGCTTCAGGTAGTCATTGAAGGAACTACAAATCCAGGAAGTTCAATTGGCCTTTTTTGGTGCAAGAATTGGGTCACATTTGCCACAATGTTGGTTGCCAACACACCAGGGGAAAAAATCTTACTTGGTCTTACACCTGATCAATAAAAGCAGGGCAACTGGCAACCTGAAAATGGCTATGTTTGAATAAGTTGTCAAGGAGGGGACCCCAGGAACTCCCTGACTCCGCCCCAGGAATGGTCCAAGGGGCTACAGGGGTGGCCTGACAACCAACAGGCAACCCTCTCCAATGTTTCTGGGAGGGTCCAGGCATCTTACCCCATCGTCCAGGGAGGGGTGGGCCGGCCCACAAAGGAGGCTACCGGGGACCCCCGGGAGGTTGGGCTCGTTGGCAGGGAAGTGACAGAGAACAAAAGGGATGGCCTCAGTTCACAGTCGGGCCAAACCATTTCTCTTTCCCCTTTTTCTTGGGAGGTTGTTAAGATCGGGTGGGAGCACCTTCTCGGAGGAATGGGGCGAATAAAGGTTGAGTGTTGGGAAACCAGGGAGGATTGCGGACACCTGGGCAGGAAGCGCTGTGGGGGAGATGCGGGCATCCGCCCAATCCACCCAGGACGCTGACTGGGGCCGCTGTCGGGAAACTAAAGGAAGAAAAATGCCTAGTGAACCCGACAACGTCTGAGGTGACCACGCTGGTGACATGTTCCTCTGCGCTCCACTAGTGCTCTCACCCAATTGCCACAACAAACCCTGCGAAATCTGACAAAGGTATCACTTTCCTTAAAAGCTTTTACATTCAGACCCTCAAAAAAACCTATGCAGCTGATCTGTGTTATTCTCAGGTCAGTCTGCTTTCATATTTGCACTCCTGGGAGCTCTGTGCAGGGCAAACTGCCAGGTGGCCATCAAAAACACTTGGGTTTGTTTCTCTGCCTCTAAGAACATCTTGAGGTACAGAAATCATCCATTAAAGCTTTTCTCAGCTCTCAAGGGGACAATCTTCCACTGCTCCTGTTGCACAGACACAGCTGCATTGGCTGGTTAAAAAGTTGGCAAACGTAGAAGGTATTGTATAATGCCGCTCTTCCAAACATTCCAGTGCATATGCATTCCCTTCCCTGTGACGTGGGTGGCTTTTCTTTAATCTACTGGGCCAGGGAATCAGCAGCTTGTAAGAGTCAAGCAGGAATCTAGGCCTGCCTCTGTGTCATAGCCAGGCCTTCCTGCCACAAATCCCTGCTATTTGTGGCTGTCATGACACGAGGTAACCACACATGATCTAAATCTGTAATACCTACGGGCAGGAGCATAAACTCCCTTGGATGTAACTGACTCAGGCTTTGAAATCGGCTCTTACCATTGAAAGTGGGCCTGCAACCTTATCCTAAGGTTCATTTCTCTCCTACCCTGTAACACAAATCTCCTTGGCACAAAACCCATCAATATTATTGACTCACCTTGTCAATGAATGATGCAAACTTGTTGTTGAGGCCCTTAATCTGCTCCCTTTCATGCACGCGCACTTTCTGGATCTCCGGGTCAATCTCAAGATTGAGTGGGGACAGGAGGTTGGAGTTGACCGTCACTCGTTGGATGCCTCCAGGAGGAACAATGGGGCATACTCTTCCACCTCCAATAAAACTCCCCATTCCCATGCCACCACCATAGCCTCCAGCTCCATAGCCTCCAGCTCCATAGCCTCCTACTCCATAGCCTCCTGCTCCAAATCCCCCACCACCAAATCCGCCGCCGCCGAATCCACCACCACCACCAAAACCACTTCCACCAAACCCACCACTACCACCATAGAAGCCTACACCACCACCACCAGGGCCAATAGAAATGCTCTTGGTACCTCCTAGGCTGTAGAGGCTTCTACTACCAAAGCCACCTACCCCTACACTTCCTCTCCCACCAACCCCTACACTTCCTCTCCCAGTTCGAGATAAAGAAACTGAGCTGAAGCTTCCTTTGGTCCCACCAGGAATGACCGTGCTGGAAGAGGTGTAGCCACTGGAAATCCTGACCCCACTTCCAGATTTAGAACTGAACTGCCTGCTCATTGTGTCTGACTCAAAAGATACAGAAGTTAGCAAAGAAATAGAAAGAGAGCTAGAGAGAGAGAGAGAAGGACACTAGACCCCTCTCTGAGGTGAGACCTTGGTCTCCCCTCTATTTATACATCGATGTGAAGAGATGGGCTTGGCTGGGATTAGGTGATTAATTAAGACTTAAATCGTTATTGGGCTGGGTTAGATCTGGCAGCAACAAAATCCTTTTCAACGTCTTTAAGTGTTTCTTTGAAGTGAAGCAAGACACAAAAATTGCTTGGCTTGCAGGCTTTAATGGTACACACACAAAAATGTGTACGCTAACAAATTAATTTTCCCACCACCACCACCACACCTAAACCAAATATAAATACGGCATCTCAACAAAGAGGATTTGTTATTTTTTTTTAAAAAAACCTTTCACTTTAATTGAGGATGATTGTTCCTCAGAATCTGACTTCAAAGGTTCATTTCCCTCCCTCCTTCAATCCATTTTTTTTTAAAAAACCTCTATCGTTGGCTTGAAATCTGTCATTCCTCAGTGATAATGAAGGCAGGCTTGAGGCAATTTTGGTTTAGGGGATATCTCTTCAAGCACCAACTCTCTTTTTGGAACACGAAGAAGTACATTGCTTAGCCCTTGGCTATTTTCAGTAGCTGCCTTAGGCATAAAAAAAAGTCTACATCAGTTGCTATCGTTGGAATTAATGTTTTTTCCCATCAACACAAACTGAATGTATTCTGCTTGAGAACAACAGAAGTCAGTGATATTCTTGGCAGGGTGGCCTGCTATGGATGACCAAAAACAAGAACACCTCAGATCATTTGCACATGCTGATTTACATTCATGCATGCAAATTTAATTACGTACATGAATGCTGTCGAGCTGCATCTAACTTATGGTGACTCCAGCAAGGGGCTCTCAAGGCTGTTTGCCATTTCCATCTTCTGCAGAGTCTTCCTTGGTGGTCTCCTATCCTAATACAGACCCTGCTTTGCTTCTGATATCTGATGAGATTTAGCTATACCACACCACCTTACCTCCCCTTTACACATAATTACTATAATGGATGGAGAATTTTGCAAACAGCCCCCCCCCTTTCTTACAGCTCATCCTCTTTCTTCACTCCAATCAGCCTGGCTAGTTTGAGCCTCTGTGGCAGCTCTGGATACCTATGGGTGTTCAGGCACTGAGCCTCTACAGCTGCTGGGCAGACGTGGAGCCCAGCCATTTTAGAGGATGCCTCAAAACAAAGGACAGAAAAAGTGGGCACTGAGGATAGGCTTCAAGAAAGATGGCTGTTCTCTGAAAATGAAGACATCTGGCCATCCTAATCCTAAGGTGATGGGTCTCCAGCAGCCAAGTGTCTCTCAGCAGAGAAAACCAGTAATAACAGGCATACTTCTCTAAAAGAAAGCTTACCCACCAACTATTCATCTTCCACAACAGTGTACAGGCACAGGAAAGTATCAGATCTACTCTAGGGTGCCATGTCTGTTTTTCCAGATCAATCATGAGAAACCTGACAGGCCCGGGCAGGGCTCTGTGTGAACTGACTTTGCATCTTAGAGCATTTCCCAGAATCCTCTTCATTGAGGTGAAGTTCCACAGCAGACACAATGTGGTCTGTAAGCAGGCAGGTTAACGTGGGAAAAAGAAAACCATTTCAGGCTCAAAAACTTGTAGGCCACTGCTGTAAGGGACAGATAGAAAGGTCTGGGCAATGGAGGAGGAGGAGGAGGAGGAGGAGGAGATGATGATGAAGAAGAAGAAGAAGAAGACGAAGAAGAAGACAAAGAGGAGGAGGAGGAGGGGGAGGAGGAGGGGGAGGAGTCTCAGAGCGGCTTACAAATGCTCAAGGGGAAAGTGGTCACTTCCTCTAAGGAGGAAGGTGATTGCCTGTTACAGACCAAGGAAACCAGGGTCCATTTGCATGTGCAGCATTTTCCCTCCCCACTGATCTCTCAAGTCTCTTTGCCAAACATTCTTTGGAGCAAATGCTCACATTGTGCTACAACAGGCAGGAGGCTGTGGCATAGGTGGATTTATTACAGTGTATGCAATTTAAAGATTACCCAGTAGGAAGTATCATACCGAAATGGCTAGTCTTGCAATGTGTATCCTAATGTATGTCACGTGAACATCTACAGAAATGAAGTTCTCAGAAACTGGCAATGAAGCTGCCTTACTCTGAGTCAGACCATCTGTGTGGTCTACTGTAACTGCAAATGGCTCTCCAGCGTCAGAGGCAGTGAAAGCTCTTTTCCCTAGTACCTCAGTACCACTTCCTCAGATCCTTCAGCTTCATGGGGCCAAGGACTGAACCTGGTGCCCACCTCATGCAAGGATGAGGATGAACGAGGGTCCCTTCCTGGTGGATCCTTGAGAAAAGATATAAAATGGGACATTTGACAAAGGGAAGCTATAGAATGGATGTGGTTGGATCCCATGGTAAAGTGCCACTTACAAGTCAGAGGGATTTATGCTGATTCTTGTCTCCTGCTGTAGACCTCTAACCTCCCCCCATGTTGTTTCCGGGGGCTCCCATAGGGTTGCCAGCTCTGGGATGGAAAATACCTAGAGATCTTTGGGGTGGAGCCTGAGCAGGGTGGGGTTTGGAGAGGGGAGGGGATTCAAGGGGGTATAATGCCATAGAGTCCGCCTTCCAAAGCAGCCATTTTCCCTCAAGTGAACTGATCTCTGTTGCCTGGAGTTCTCCAACCACCACCTAGATGTTGGCAACCATAGGATCCCATTTCTCCCAGAAGCACTGTTTCAGGTATTGTTTGGGGCTGCAACACAAGGAAAGAAGCAGAACATAGGGTTGCCAGGCCAAGCCAAACCTGGCAATCAGCAGGCAGGTTGGGAGCAGTGACATGGGGGGGGCATGCAATGGCAGCTGCATCCCTATGCCGCTGCCCAGAGCCAACCCATGTACTCTGGTCTATGCCCCTGCGAGATCTAGATCTCACAGATAGCAAATGAATTGGTAAAATTGTGTCTGGACTGTACCACTTGGGACTGCTGGTTGGGGACTAACATTATTGAAAACGCCAGACCACAAACACATACCCTACTTATAGACAAGTAGAAGTCTGGAAGAAGTTTCTCTTCTAATAAGCTAGTTATTTTATGTATTGAACTGCCTCCCCACACACAGATCAAGTGGTACAGTTAGGGTTGGGGCCTCAAGGGGGGACCTGAAGTCCTCCCAATTACAACTGATCTCCAGGCTCCATGGATCAGTTCCCCTAAAGGAAATGGCAGCTTCAGAAGGCATACCATAGTATACCATAGAGTCTAGGAGAAACGGGAGTCATGTATATATCCAAAGAAATGCAGTTTTAGAGTCTCAGCTGAGCTCCTTCCCTTCTCCAAAGTCCACCCTCTTCAGTCACCACCCCCAAGTCTCCAGGAATTTCCCAAGCTGCAGTTGGCATCCCTAGGTACAGCCCATATATAGGTTTACTAGCTCATGCATTTTGTGCATAGTGTATTGTATTTTGTATGGCTGAAACCTGTCAATCACCCACATCAAATCCTCTCTTCCTTTGTCATCTTCCTTCTGTCAAACATTTAGATTGTGAGTTCCTCAGGGCAAGGATTGGCCTTTTGTACGCCGTCCAGCACTGTGTACAGTAATGAAGGTATATAAATGTTCCTAATAAGAACACTTGCATGGACAATTTTGCTTTTTCCTCCTTTGGAGAAGGCCAAACGGGAGCATGGACCCATGTACCATCCGCTCAGGTTTTCGCTTGTTTTCCCTTGGATCTAAAATCAAAACCAAGTATGAATCAGCACAAAGCATGTGTCAAATTCATTTGGGCCACTCAGTCTGTATAGCAGGACAGAATAACAGTGTAAATACGAGGAAAACTAAACAGTGTAGCACAAAAACAAAATCCAAATTTGTACCGAGGTAAGTTCACTGATGCAAATTCTCTATCATGTGTATCTAAGATTGGGGTTTTCTTTTCTTTTTTCTTTAAGTGGCAAATAGTAACTAGGGGCTAGTTGGGTTCTGAGGCAGATTCATTAAATAGGGACAAGAGTTATGCAGGACTCTCTGGTTTGTAAGACTTTGCCAGGAGTTGCTGCCATGTTTTTGAGCTTGTGTATGCAGTGGCTCAAGTGGTTAAGACGCTGAACTGCAGGCTGTGGAAAGTCAGTAGTTCAGCAGTTCGAGACCCGGGTGCTGCATGATGGAGTGAGCTCCCATCTCTAGTTCCAGCTCCTGCCAACCTAGCAGTTCGAAAGCAAGAAATTGCAAGTAGATAAATAGGTACCACTTCAGTGGGAAGCTAACAGCATTCCGTGCGCCTTGGCGTTTAGTCATGCCGGCCACATGACCACGGAAATGGCTTCGGACAGCGCTGGCTCTTCGGCTTTGAAACGGAGATGAGCACCGCCACCCTAGAGTCAGATTCGACTGGCTTTTGAGCAAGGGAACCTTTACCTTTACCTATGCAGCCCTAAGGGCTAGAGACTTGTCTATTAAACATAGGATGTAAGGGGCAAATGAAATGTTATGTCCAAATGGATGTAAGGAAACCCCTTTTTTAAAAAAAATACAATACAACCTTGAGAGGCTGCAGCTTTAAGTGGAAGGGTGAGGGACAGAAGGATTCATAACCCGTTCCCCATTATTCTGCTCAAAATGCCCCGTTTCAAATCAATCCCCTCAGGGCTATTTTTGGGCAGGAACGCACAGGAACGGAGTTCCAGCTGGATCCCAAGTTGGCCACGCCCAGCAGGAACTCATTAGCATAATAGGCCACACCCAACAGCAGAAACTCATTAGGATTAGCTACAATTAGGGGTGTGTGGCCTAACATGCAAAGGAGTTCCTTCTCCAAAAAAAAGCCCTGGGTTTTGTCAACAAACAAGGTAAAGAGAATAATAAGCAAAAGGTGGGTGTGGCTGGGTGACCACACTTCTGGTAATACGGGGGTGTGGCCTAATATGCGAATGATCTGTGTTGTCAGGGGTGTGGCCTAATATGCTAATTAGTCCCTGCTGTTGGGTATGGCCTATTATGCTAATGAGTTCCTGCTGGGCTTTTTCTACCAAAAAAGCCCTGATTCCTGTTATGTATGCGGCCCGCCACAAGGCGCCCGCAAGAAGTAGAGGAGCTTGGCTCCAAAAGGACAATAGGACCTCGGATCCTAGTCCTCTCCCTAGCCAGCCAATAGGCTCCTTGGTGGGAAATTCAAACCCTCCAATGGAGTGGGAGGCCCGGGGACGGGAGTGTATATAGTTGGCCTTGCAGGGCCGTTGTGTTGTTGTTAAGTACTCAGTAAATGTGTGCAATCGCATGTCGTCGTCCGAGTCCTCCATGCGGCGAACCCAGTACTTTTCAGTGGCGACGAGGATGGGATCCTGCTGAGTCTGGCCTGGCTCGCACCAGCGTGCAACGCTAACTCCATCCTGCTACGCCGCGCCCCCCATCGTGCACCAGCCACACCGCGCACCGCAACAAGGAACCGCAGCCTTGCGCTACCGCTACGCCATGGCCTCCAACCGAGGGAATCTGGAGATCTTCGATCCCGCCCAACCCGAACTCTGGGACTCGTGGACCGACCAGCTGACATGCCATCTAGAGTACAACGAGGTCACCGACGCAGGCAAAAGACAAGCCCTGCTCCTGAGTTCCTGTGGAGTGACCACGGTCCGCCTCGCAAAAAGCCTCCTCACGCCCCGGTCAATCCTGGAGTGCTCCTACGAGGAGATCATCGAGGCCCTCACCAAGTACCTCACCCCACGGCCAATGATGCTCGTGAGGTGGCTGGCTTTCCAGAGCCGAGTGCAGAAGCTGGGCGAGTCGGCCGCAGCCTTCATGGCCGCCCTGCGCCAGCTGGCAATGGACTGCTCCTTCACCAAGGTGGAGGAGAACCTGCTCACACAGTTCGCGTGGGGCCTCAGCGACCTCAAACTGCGGAGGAAGATGGTCGGGACCGCCGACATCAAGCTGGAGGCGGACTTACAACTCGACATCGCGCACGAGGACTCCCACCGCCAACCTTCAGCAGCGCACCAAGTACTCCCCGACATAGACACCGAGGACTCCGAGGAAGAAGACGTCCGCCTCATCCGACAGCCGCCACGCCGCCAGCCACCGGCCCCAGGCAACTCCGGACACAAGCCTGCCGGCCGCTCCACATGCGCCAATTGCAGCAAGGAGCACGAGCGCCGGTCCTGCAGGTTCCGCGACGCAACGTGCCACACTTGCGGGAAGCAGGGACACCTCGCGCACGTCTGCTGGTCCAAGGGAAGCCGGTGCCAACAAGCTCCGATGCAACCATGCCGTCCGTCTACCGCCATGCACGGGACATCCGCAGAGGCATCCGAACTCTATCTCCTCACGGAGCAACTGTCGCAACAGGTACTTCGCCTCCCCAACACAGAGGGCGCCCCAAAAATCCAATTGACAGTTCAGATCGAGGGGGCCCCCTGTCAAATGGAGGTGGATTCAGGGTCAGCAGCGTTCATGATTTCGGTTGAGACGCTACGCCGGCTGTGCCCTGGGGGGGGCCCCGACTGCACCCGTCCCACCTGAGCCTGGTGGACTTTCAAAGGAACCCGGGTCCAATCAGGGGAGTGGAGACCTTCAGGGTGCAGTTCAGAGTATTTTCGGGACTGTTGGACCTGGTGGTGGTCGAGGGGAACCTGGTTAGCCTGCTGGGCAGGGCCTGGTTCAAGCCGCTGGGCATCACGGATGGGGACTATGGTGAAATTTGCAAGGAGTTCCCAGCTGTGTTCGATGGGGCCCTGGGATGCTACAAGGGGCCCCCGGTTTCCCTGCAGTTGGACCCCTCAGTGGCCCCTATCCGCATGCGTTACCGCACGGCTCCCATCTCCATTCAGCCAAAGATTGACGTGGAACTGGACAAGTTGGTGGCACAGGGGGTCCTGGAGCCCGTCCCACACTCAATTTGGGAGACCCTGATCGTAACCCCCCTGAAGCCCAACGGTGAGATCCGCATCTGCGCGGATTACAGGTGCACAATTAATAAGGCACTGCACGACCACTCCTACCCCGTCCCAGTTGTGAGTCATGTCCTGGCCACACTGGCAGGAGCATCCATCTTTGGAAAGCTGGACTTGGCGCAGGCCTACCAGCAACTGCCGGTCGACGAGGCCACCGCCACGGTGCAGATGATAGTCACCCACAGGGGGGCGTTCAGGGTTAAGAGGTTGCAATTCGGGGTGAGCGTGGCACCAGGGATTTTCCAACAACTCATGGACTCTTTATTGAAAGGGATCCCTGGAGTGACGTCATTTTTCAATGACGTCCTGATCGCCGCGGCGTCCCCCGAAGACTTCGCCTCCCGCCTTCGCGCCATCCTGCAGCGTTTCGACTTGGCCGGCCTCAAGGTGAAGTGCGAGAAGTGCCTCCTCGGGGTGTCAGAGGTGGACTTCTTGGGATTCCGAGTCGACGCGACGGGCCTACACCCCGCTAAGGACAAAGTGAAGGCCATCGTGGAGGCCCCCGCCCCCACGTGCAAGGCGGAGCTGCAGGCGTTCCTTGGACTAATAAATTTTTATCACGCCTTCCTGCCACACAAGGCGGTGGTGGCCGAACCCCTGCACTGTCTCCTGGATAAATCGGCGAGGTGGTCTTGGGGCGCACAGGAGGAGGCGGCTTTCAGGGGCGTGAAAGCACTCTTGATTTCAAACGACATGCTGGCCCACTTTGATGAGTCCCTTCCCGTGGTCCTTGCGTGCGACGCCTCTCCCTATGGGGTCGGTGCCGTGCTGGGACACATTCTCCCCGATGGCCGCGAGGTGCCCATGGCATACTACTCACGGACATTGACGGCCGCTAAGCGTAATTACGCGCAGATCGACAGAGAAGGGCTGGCAATCGTGGCGGGGGTTAAAAATTTTAATAATTTTGTTTATGGCCGCCCCTTCACAATTGCCACGGACCATAAGCCTCTTCTGGGACTGCTGGCAGCTGACAAGAGGACGCCCCAAGTGATGTCCCCACGGGTGCTCCGGTGGTCTCTCTTCCTGGCCGGCTATCAGTATCGTCTGGAACACCGGCCGGGTAAGGCGATGGGCCACGCGGACGCACTGAGCCGGCTCCCGCTGCCTGTAACTGAGCCAGACCCCGCCCCAGCGCTCGCCGTCATGAGCATCGAGGGCCTCCCGGAGGCCCCCCTGCACGCAGCGGACATCGCAGCCAAGTTGTCCCGCGACCCCCTCATTTCCCGTGTTTTGGGCTGGGTGGTGAGGGGGTGGCCTGCATCGCCCCCGGGAGCCAGGTTCATGCCATTCAGCACTCGGAAAGACGAACTGTTGGCACTAAAGGGGTGCCTCCTGTGGGGGGACCGGGTCGTGGTCCCCAGCACTCTGTGGTGGCCAGGGATCGATGCAGAAATCAAGGCGTGGGTCCGGAGATGCCAGCCTTGCCAGGAGGTCCGGCCCAACCCACCGAAGACACCGACACAGGCGTGGGAGTCAACACGCAAGCCCTGGTCCCGGCTACACGTGGATTTCGCTGGGCCGTTCCAGGGCCTACTATTTATGGTAACGGTGGATGCCTACTCCAAGTGGTTGGAGATTAGCCCCATCTCCACCACCTCAACCAAGGCGGTGATCCGCGTGCTCCGCCGGATCTTCGCAACACACGGCCTGCCGGACACCCTCATCTCCGATAACGGAGCAGCGAGAAGCGCCAAGTGGCTTCTTCACGGGAGACCCCATCTTCCTCCGGAACTACAGAGCCGGTCCAGCCTGGCTTGAGGGCTGCGTCTCCAAGGTCAAGGGCCCGGTCTCGTACGAGGTGACGACAGAGGACGGGCGGCGGCTGGAGAGGCACATCGATCAGCTTCGGCGGCGGCTGCCCCCAGTGGGAACGGACACAGCCCCAGCGCCGCATCCGGAAGACGGGGGCCTAGAGGAGGCGTCGCCGCCTGACCACAGCCAAACGGCAGAGGCCCCGAGCGAGGAGGAAGGACAGGTCCCGGAAGCAGCCAAGCCACTAACACAGCCACTTGCACAACAGCAGCCGAGCCCCCCAGCACAACCGGACCCAGAGCTCCCCGCACCGACCGCAACACCGGTTCCTTCACCGGCACCCAGGCGCTCTAACCGAGAGCGCAAGCCCCCTGCCTATTTGAAAGACTATATCACCCAGGTGGTGTCTGAACTATGGGGGGAGGGGTGTTATGTATGCGGCCCGCCACAAGGCGCCCGCAAGAAGTAGAGGAGCTTGGCTCCAAAAGGACAATAGGACCTCGGATCCTAGTCCTCTCCCTAGCCGGCCAATAGGCTCCTTGGCGGGAAATTCAAACCCTTCAATGGAGTGGGAGGCCCGGGGACAGGAGTGTATATAGTTGGCCTTGCAGGGCCGTTGTGTTGTTGTTAAGTACTCAATAAACGTGTGCAACCGCATGTCGTCGTCCGAGTTCTCCATGCGGCGAACCCAGTACTTTTCAATTCCCCTCCTCCATCTATGTATGTATTTAAGAAGGCAGACATCCATTTGGAACTCTGGGGTGGTGGAGAAAATAGCCACTCAGGAAGGAAATCTTGAATGGCAAACAGCCCACAGGAAAACAGTTAATCGTTCTACCAATCCCTTCCCCTCCATTGCTCCTTCACCCCAAACCGCATCCTCCTGAGGGAGCTTTTCATTTAACAAACCCACTGGGGGGCTTCCTTGCATGGGTTTGCACATAATGTGCAATTTCCCTCAAGGATCCTCAAGATTCTATGAACGTCTTCTGATGTTATGTGCTGAATGGTCCTGTACTTTACGTCTTAAGTAACAGGTAAAGGTCCCAGTGCCAGTTTGGTCTAAAGAACTGGCACATGACCCACACCTTAATAGAGAGATTTCAGGAAATTAATCTCCTCTTTTGGGATGAATCCGCCCTGGCCTGCAGCAATGCTTTCTTTGAGTATGCCGCAATGCTGTAATCCGGCACACAATCAGTCAGAAGCCGCTGAAAGTGGGCGATGGCATCACAGGCAGGTGGGTCTATCAAAAACTACCCCGAGGTGTGCAATTTCTTTATCAGTTCCAAATTGGCGTTACTTCAAACTGTCATTTGCCTGAGGTAAAAAGAAGCTTATTTAAAAAATCTAATGGGAGGGGGGGGGGTTTCCACGCCAATTGTGTTCCCCACCTGGTGGAACAGCCTGCCTGATGAAGTAAGAAAGGCTCCCACATTTCTGTCATTCATTAAAGGTGTAAAATGGGCATTTTCCTAAGGAGAACAGGGATGTAGTGGTTTTGTAGGATTGGGCACCTTCTATTTGGGTAATAAGGTTTTAATTTAATTTCCTGTGACATTGTAGGCAACTCCCCCCCCCCCCAAAAAAACCTACATTGTTTACTGAATGCTGTCCTTCAGCATTCCCTCATTGTGGAATCATTTTTTTTTAAATCGTTCTCCTGTTGTGAAATCCAGTTTATGTGAGGGAGTATACCGTTTTTAAAATTGTCATTGTTCTTTAATTTGTGTGATCCAGTTTTATTGCCTGCATTATACTGTCTCTGGTGCTGTGTTTTATTTGTCTGTAACCTACTCTAAGTCTCAACAAGAAAGGGTGACAAAAGAAGAAGTGCATAAATAAAGAAAATGGCTCCATTCTCCTTTTGCTTCCTGCCAGACCCTGATCCCATTCATTGTTCAATTCTGTCGTTTACTCAGTAGGTGAAGTTTAAGGTGAGGTCGCCCTTGTTGGTCTGTGGTAGAAGATAAAGATTTCTGTTTAGAAACAACTTAGTGATCAACAAGATTTCCAGGATATGAGTGTTCCAGAGTGAAAGCTCTCTTCGCCTGGTGAAGCCACTGCTGGGGGGCTCAGGAAATCAGTTTCCTTGCTAGTTCTAAGACAGTGCTTGTCAGCATCGCTAAGAGATTGTAAGAAATGGGAGGACCAAGTTTTATTTCTGAGATTGAGAGGGAGGGAGGACATTTTACCTCATTACCATAAATCTTCTTTCAGAAGTAGATGCCATCTTGGTTCATGTCATCATAAGCAGAGAGAACTGGCCCTCCTTTGAGAGCCAGCTGTGGTGTAGTGGTTAAGAGTGGCAAACTCTAATCTGGAGAACCGGGTTTGATTCCCCACTCCTCCACATGAAACCAGCTGGGTGATCTTGGGACACTCACAGTTCTCTTAGAACTCTCTCAGTTCCACTTACCTCACAGCAGGCTCTTTTTGTAGAAAAAGCCCAGCAGGAACTCATTAGCATAATAGGCCACACCCAACAGCAGGAACTCATTAGCATATTAGTCCACACCCCTGACAGCACAGCTCATTACCACATTAGACCTCACCCCCATGTTACCAGAAGTGTGGTTATCCAGCCACACTCACCTTTTGCTTGTTATTCTGTTTACCTTGTTTACCAGGGCTTTTTTGTAGCAGGAACTCATTTGCATGTTAGGCCACACACCCCTAATGTAGCCAATCCTAATGAGTTTCTGCTGTTGGGTGTGGCCTATTATGCTAATGAGTTCCTGCTAGGCGTGGTAAACTTGGGAGCCAGACGGAACTCCGTTCCTGTGCGTTCCTGCCCAAAAATAGCCCTGCCTCACAGGGTGTCTGTTGTGGGGAGGGGAAGGAAAAGGGATTGTAAGCCGCTCCAAGATTCCTTCAGCTAGTGAAGAGGGAGTATAAAACCAACTCTTCTTTTTCATCTTCTATCTTTCTTTAATGAGAGAGTGCGATAAAGAGTCTATATTTTTTATTTCAAAACAGTAGTGGTCTACTCAAGAAGACTTAAATTTGGATCCTCTGAAAAGAGTGTAAGGACTTTCTAAGGAAAAGAGTAAATGGATAACCTGACTACAAGGGGGTTCACATACAGCCTCAGCATGATATAAGTTGTATGTTCTGACAGCCACACTCATATGTTCATGTGTGTTCAGATCCCTCCCATTCAATCTGCCCTGGAAAAAATTAGAGGGGTCGAGGGCATAAGCATATGGGTCTCATACCATGCAATGTGCTCTATGGAAGAGTGGGCGGGCGGGCAGACATGAACCAGAGGTTTCTTTCTTTGCTCACTACACATAGCACATTGATACCATGGCAGTGTCTGAACATAGAAAAAGCAATTCATGAGATGTTGAATAAGATAGAGCATGCAAGTGGTGAGATTTCACCGCAACTTATAATTGGCTACGAGTCCAAAGACTTGTTTACAAAAATATTTGCTGTGGCAAGAACTGCCTAGGGGCAAAGACTTTGCATCAGTGGCAAGGTACCTACATGCACACACAGGCTCCTTTATCTTCTGCAGCATCATACCTCAAGCAGGCGACAGCTGTTTGAAGAAGAGGCAAAAGCCCTTGCCCCCCAGGAACACAGACCATTGAAATCCTCCATGCAGCTTTATTGACTCAGCATGCAGGCCCACCCCATAGCAGTACAGTGTGTAAGAAAATGAAATTGGCTGCATATTTCTACCACCAATCTATAGGTAACCAGCATCCCCCCTTTCCCAAAGGTTCCTGGGAATTGTAGTTCTCTGGAGGTTTGGCTAGAAATACCTACCTACTGGAGGTTTTTCATTACTTTTAGCAAACTAGAATTCTCAGGGATAATACAAATACAGGTTCCATGAAAATGCGTTTTATTCTATTCAAATTGCTTGCTACAAAGCAGAGTTTCTCCAAAGCCATTAAAAAAGAATTTTTACACACAATGGACAAGCTACTCCACAGCACACATTTTGTGTTGAGAAGACCCGGAGCTTTTTAAATGGTCAATCTGGTCCTTCAGGAAGGCTCATCTTATGGTTGTCCTTTTGCTTGTAGAAGTTGAGATGATTTTCAGGCCAGAAGAGCAACCACCTCCTCCTCCTCCTGCTGCTGCTGCTCCTCCTCCAGAACGATATCCCACAATGCCCCTGCTGCTGCCAGAACTTGAACCACCTCCTCCGACACTAAGTACACCTTCATAGCCTGGGCCGCTCCCACCTGCCGGGCTGTTGTTGCTGACTACAGCTACAAAAAACAAGCAAACAAAGCCACCAGAGAGATGGTTATTCTAACAAAAACACATTTATTTGAGAGAAAAACCCAAACAAAGTGGTCTGTACTGCTATGGGGTGGGCCTGCATGCACTACACAATGGCTGGGATCCCAGGGTAAATTTCCATTAGTGGAATGGAGGCAATTTCTATCCATTCTCTACTCCAGAAGGAGGAGGAGGAGGAGGCTGGATTTATACCCTGCCCTTCACTACTCGAAGGAGTCTTAGCACAGCTTACAATTCCTTTCCTTTCCTTCTCCACAACAGACACCCTGTGAGGTAGGTGGGGCTGAGAGAGCTCTTTTCAGAACCACCCTTCAGAGAACAGCTCTGAAAGAACTTATGACTGACCCAAGGTCACACCAGCAGCTGCATGGGGAGGAGTGGGGAATCAAACCCAGTTCTCCCAAATTACAGTCTGCGCTCCTAACCACTACACCAAATCACTACACCAAACTGGCTCTCAGACCTCCAACTCCCCCCTCCACTGTTCCTGGAGGTTTCTACCCACTCCAGCTGTAGCACTCCAGCTTCGCCCTTATGTTGTTCCTTGGAGTCCTCTGTCCCCCAGGAACAACATTTTTGGCTGCAGCAAGAAGGGGAGGGCAAGGAATCCCCATTTCATTGGTGAAAAATCCTGTTTTGCCAATAGAGACTTATAATGGGGAGGCAATTGTGACTCAGTGTTGGACACCTGCTTTGCATAAAGAAGGTCCCCAGTTCACTCCCTGGAATTTCCAGCTGAAGGAACCAGGCAGAAGGAAAGATATTGCTTCTGTCTCTGAGAGCACAGAGAGCTACTCCCTGTCTGGTATTAATGACACATTATTTTTTCCTCCGGTCATTCCTTGATCAGGGCCTGGAGTTCTCCTGGAATTAGAACGGACTATAGAGATCAGCTCCCCTGGAGGAAACAGACCTCCAAGGTAACTGGTTGACCACTCCGTAAAACAGGCTGTTGGACCAGACGGACCCCTGGTCTGATCGGTTCTTTGTATGTTCTTAAGGCAGCTTCAGAAGGTGAAATCCTGTCACATTCCTACGGAGTTCCTTCCCTTCCCCAAACTCCACCCTCTCTAGGCATCACTCCCAAATCTCCAGGAATTTCCCAAGCCAGAGTTGGCAGCCCTAGGCAGTAACTCAATTGCCAGGTTGGCAAGGGCCCAGTTCGGATCAGAAGTGTGCCATGCAGCACTTGCATCATTTCCTGCACAATCAATAGCCCTGGGGGTGCTATTTGCCCCACTACGGCTCCACGTGCTCTGATGGAGTACCTGTAGGTTTCCCTAAGGCAACATATAGCACCCCTCTGGGGGGCTG